AAATTAATTCGTTTAAACGATATAATAATGCGTTTAAACGATTTAATAATTCGTTTAAACGATTTAATAATTCGTTTAAACGAAATAATAATTTTGTTTAAACGAAATAATAATAAAAAGTGTTGAAAATTGCGCTTAAGGGGCTCCGTAATTATCAGTAGGATTTAAATCTGGAAAGATATCTTTTTCTAACTTTTTTCTTAGTTTTTCTAAATTAATTAAAGTGCAGGCATAAGGAATTGCTCTTAGCGTGTCTTTTTCTGAATACGTTTCGCAATCCCAAGCGAATAACGCATCATCACTCATACTTGAAAGCACGTTTAGTTTGAGAGGTGAAACCTGTGTTACTGCGTTATCATCTCTACACGTTTTCCACACCTGTTCGTAATTGCCTTCTATTTCTTGAATTCCCAAACTTCTTCTAATCAGACAGAAATGCGAGTTGTGTAAGTAAAAAACCCAATCTAATTCATCATGTACGTCTCTGGGGTGAAAATGTCTGTTTTTGGGATTATAGATTTGAAACGAAGTGTTGAATTTCTTGTTGAATTCCTTCATTCTAGCACAAGTCATCACTCCTTTTCTATTTGCTTTTGAAAACCCGTTGATGTATTCTTGAAATTCACACGTTAAATCTTTGTTCAAAACACGATTGACGCATTTGATAAAACAGTGACCATCTGTAGGTATGTAACAATTTTCACCTTCGTATTCATTTATCTTATTAAGTAGATCAGTTCCTCCTCTACCAACTCTCGATCTTTTGATTTCTTGGAAATTGTCTTTCATTAAAATTATTTTTCCTGTAAAATACCAATCGGAAGCATCGGATTTTTTGTCCATATTTGAAAAGAAATTGTGAAAAGTTTTGGCATTGAAACCGAGGAATGACATGTTTTGTCTGTGATTCCCTTCCTCGACTATCTCTCCATCTATTTTAATTTGTCTTTGGAATGTTTTAAATTTATTGGAAACAGCCTTGATAACATCGGAAAATAGGACGTTTTCTATCAATGTTTCATTGTGTTCGATTTTATTCATATTTTTTTAAGTATATATTTTTGATTATTTCTTTATTTTGGCCGCTGATATTTCTGTATGGAATTTGTCCAAAATTTCAATGAATTCTTCTAATTCTTCAACTGTTATGTTCTTGTCTTCTCTCGATCTTTCGAAAAAGATGTACAATTGATTAAGATACATATTCAAGATATCCGTTTTCTTTTTATAATGAGCTTTCTTTTTGCTCGTGAAACCTATAGCAATCAAGCCACAAGATGAAGTTTGAATAGCAGTAATTGTGGCTAATACAGTTGGGACAAGTACAGGAACCATTAATCCACCAGTCACGACCGTTGCAAGTGTTGTTCCTATCGTTAGAACTACACTCGCTGTTTTGAAAACAGAATCGATTCTACTCCATGTTTTTCTGCATGTATTGTACTGTCTCAACTTTATTTTCAACTTTCTTGTTTGTCTATCATGTATTGTTGTCTGCTTTCGAGTTTCATTTTTTAAGTCGTTAAATTAAGTGAATTTCCGATAAATGGAACCACGGAATATCATATAGAACGTACTTGTTTGGCCTAGCATTATTATATTTTCGGGTATTAAAAGAAAAAGCATTTACGCGTACTAACGACATGTCTTTTTTCGTATGGTCCTCGTTAAGATGATAGGAATATTTTATTTTTTATTTTTCGATGTTTATCTTGGCTCTAGAAATATAACCACCACCTTCAAGGATGGAGTCTTCGGCAAACGATAAATGTACTATAAACTCTCTTTCTTGTTGACTTTTATGAACATCGATCGAGGTGTATTTTCCAGCGTAAACAAAATACAGTTTTACGTATTCAAAGTCTATTGTTCGTAAAAACTCGTGACTGCTCGATTCTATTGGTCCGGGTATATGTGCGGGTATTATAAGTGATGGTGGAATTTTGATCATGTTGGTTGATGGTGGATTTTCCGTCTCCAATATCATATCTAAATCTTTCATTCCAATGATATCCTTATCATTTTCTACTTCCATTTTAAAGGTGTCTACATATTTACCATTTTTCGTTTCAATTTCATATAAATCATCCCTTTTATCAATCAAACGTATAGTCTCTTCCAAATTACCATCATTGAAAAATGAAAGATGTTTGACAGCATTACCGGTTTGTTTGAAGACTATTTTATTGACTTTAACCTTCATGGGAAAATCTATTTCAATCAGACATCTACCTCGAAAAGTAAACGCTTCCGTTTCGCCGATATCGAATACGTTTTTAGGTTCTCCATCTACGCGAGAAGCTACTTTTATTTCTACTTTGAATCCATATTTGTTTGATTTATAACTTTGATCTTTTCTATCGAAGACAGTGTCACTTTCGAATGGAAGATTGAAATAATACGACTTGTCCGTGACAATAGCTTCTTATTTGGTCAACTTTCTCTCTTGTCTCAAAAAATCGTCTTGAATTCTAGATACCAAAAATTGACCTGTCCTTCAATATATTTTTTGATATCATCTTGAAATTTATTTTGAAGAAAGTTTTTAATCACACCCACTTCTTTTTCTAATTCGTGCGTGATTTTAGTATCTAAAGCAGTCAATTGTCGTTTCCAACGTATCTTTGTCAATGGGATGTGCGAGCTTGTTAATTATATCTTAAACATCTGATTTTTGCTTCGCGATCTTTTCGTTCAATTTGGATACTGAATTTTGTAACTCATTTTTGTCCACGTTCTTGTCTAGTTCTGCTAGCAATTCGCCAAGTTTTCTTTCCAAAGCGGTTAGTTTTCGTGTCAATCTATCCTCGTTTACATTTGGGTTATCTGTTAAACGTTGGACGTCTATTTTTACCTTCGTAATCTTATCGTCTAATTTAGATATTGAATTTTGCAACTGACTTGTTTTATCCACTTGAATAAGACGTTTCAAACTCGTTAACTCTTGTTGTAGTTTGGGTTCGTCCACAAGATTTTTAATATTTCGTCTGAGGTATCTTTTCACGTCAGTTATTCTGTTTTCTAGAGGTAAAGACCCTAATCCAAACTTGTTTGCCATTTCTTATTGAGTTAAATTTATTATAATTTCTTCAAACTTTTCTCCCAAACTCAACCGATATAAAACCCAAAGCGACAGCTGTCCACACAGCTTTTGTCCTGGCATTTGAATTTGAAACGTAGAACATTTAATTGGTTTGCTAATTTCGTTATCTCTTCTGTCGGTTCTAGACCGAAAGAATCAAAGAAATAAAAGTTATTCAAAGAATCTTTTTGTAGAGCAGAGTGATGAATTCCTTTTTGATCCGACGTATGAATGTTTGTAATGGCGTAAAATTTACCTTTCTTGTATTTCAGTTCATCAATTTCATCTCGCAGGCAATAATAAAACGACGAGACGTTTAATTCCTAGGCCCATTTCACAAGTTGAAAGTGTCTTTTCCGTATTTATCGAGAAACGCATTCATTTTTAAAAGTCAGTTTTTTTTAAGTTGATTTTTTGTATTAAAGTTAAAAATATTTTGAGGTGTTATGTTTTTCGGAGTATGCGGTAAGTATTGTTGAAGACCCAATTGACGAAATATATACGTAGTTTGTGTTTGAACAACATTCTGATAAAACACATTCAATAATATTTTGAAGATAAATTTACATTTAAATTTTAATTTAAGAAAGCGTAAATGCTTGTCGACATCTAAATTTCTTAACCTTTCATCTAAATCTTCATTTTCGAGATTCATTTTTAAAAGTCAGTTTTTTGAAGTTCATTTTTATAAAACCTTCCTATGATTGTTCTTTGTCTTGATCGATCAATTCATACGTGGGAAGTGATATGCTATTTATTTTATCAACAATGAATATCTCGTTAGTCCAATACCCGACGTAACCTTTCTGAAACAATGATTTATATTTAAAAATACGAACTCGATATCCAACTTTGAATTTGGGTTTAATATTCAAATTGCTAATCTCGTTTTCAAAGTTGTTTCGAGTGTTGACGGACTTTATGATATTAGGGTTAATCGAGGCTTGCGTTGGCGTCACACCTATAGACGAATGTATTTTGTTATTGTATTCGTCGACAACAACTGGTAATATTTTAAGCCATTTGGAGATTCAATTC